CCCAGTGAATTTTTAGATGGCGCAGTCGCTCAACGTGAACAGAGGAATCACCGGCCTCACTGCAGGGATGGCACAGCTGCAAGCTCTCGCTCGATTCGGATTGCTGGGAAAATTGGACAAAGAGGTAACCTATGATCGTCAGCAAGTTTCTATATTTTATACGCCTCTTTGTGCTTCTCTTAATGATCGTTTTCCGGAAGGAGCATACTGGCACCCTTGACGCATTAAAGCGAGGGATTACGATAAGTTAAGATTGGACTGGGTTCATAGTGGAAGTGGAGATGCTGAATAATGCCCCAGTGGCGAAAAAAGCAAAGAAATCCGTCAAGAAGGCGCAAAATGGGACCCCTTTCTTTGCCCGTTGACCTCCGATAATGGACGAGTTTCGCACCGTCTAGTACCAAGTATCGTAAAATATGAAAAGACCAGGTTTGCTCCGCCCGCTATCGCGCGCATCACAGGGTAGGGAGGAACCACGGAATGACGTACTCCATTAACCACCTCACTATTGAATGTGTTATACCTCCTTATACCCCTTCTCTCCGGCGCATGGCAGCGCCATGTTCTCCCTCCCTTTCTCCTCTCCCCCTTCCCTCCCTCTTTCTCTCTCTCCCCCTCCCTTCCAGCCTCCCCTTTCTTGCCCCTTCCCTCTACCCCCCTCCCCCCCCCCGCTCATCCGGCTGCCACGGCAGCACCATGTAGAATGAGACTGAGTGTGCTCGATCGGTGTTTATATAGCCGCTGTGGGTGTTATCATGATCATGACATCAACATCACGAAGTGTTGCCCTTCGTACTCCCTGGTTTTGTGAGCGGTTGGTCCGGACGGACAGAACGACACACGCACACACACACCGACAAACCGACACACCAAAGTTCTGGTTTATATAATGAAGTGATATACGTTCGCCACCCCTTGCCGGCTTTTAAGGTGAAGCTCCTCGCACACCCGTTAGCTGTAGAATGTTCCAGCGACATCTCGTGACTCGCCTTGTAGTTTTGGAATATGTCGTCTTGAAGACATGGAAAAATCGGAGCCACACGTGCCCTGCACCAATTTATGAAGCCAAACAAAGATCGAAACTCTGCGTCTCATTTCCAGATATATCTGCATTAAATTGAATTCTGATAGCTAGTATTCTGGAGTACGTGAAGCCACCAATTCAGACAAATGAATTATTCTGAACCTTTTCGAGTGCATAAACGATATAAGAAAATGCCAAGAAGTGTGTCCGTGTGCCTCAACGCGCAAGCAGTTACCCAATGTATGAAACCATTTTGGCTACGCTCGCTACTGTGGGGCAAAACATGCTTCAATAGAACAAAGCATAATAGAAATCTTTTATTACTTAATGCATGCTTTTGATGGATCTGGTTGATGCTATTAAGTTTGAAAGGTTGCTACAATGCTGATGATAAGGCAGTCATTTCCCGCAGCTCATATTGCCATATCATATTGCCTCAAACACCGACCACCTTACGGAGATCCATCAAACCGCAGAATAGCGGTCTAATGGATCTCGAAGCTTACTACGACATTGCACCCGAAATGGAATGCATCTGTATCGCACATCTAGGATAAAAACTTCAGTGACTCCTCCGTTCTCAAGATAATTGCACTCCTTATTAGCTGTTGTAACTTTTGACGCCCACCAAATTTGACCCTTCAAAAGGCAACAACTCTCTGCTGCTGAGGCACGCGCCATGAATTTCGTGACCCTTGCTTTCTAGCGCCCCTTATCGATTGTTATCATTTTCTATCACCGTCGAAATACGTTTCCGTCTCACTCCAATACATCACATGTTGGATCCGAAGCTTCACTTCTGCTGGGCCACATGCAATAAATTCCGTGACCCTTCTCTGACGTCTTTGGTCAGCCCATGTCAGTTGTTGTCAGTTTCTGTCACCTATCAAATATGTTCTTGTTCCATGTCCTATACCATATATTGAAATCAACCCCCAGCGACACCTACGCCGCACTATCAATTTAGTGCCACTCACACCACACACACAGCGATTTATATATAGTAGGGATTGTTTGCAAATAAAGAAGCTGTTTCTTTTAGTTTTGATTGCACTCGCCGTAGAGGGGCGTCCATGTGAGCAACTTCTTTATCATGAGTTTGGCCAAGGAATCCACAAAGTGGGCAATATACAGGCAATGCAATCTTTGTTGCAGATAAAGCATGTGTTGGTGTATCATCGCGGAGGAAAGTGGTATCTGGAAGACTCAATGAAATTTGATTCTGCTGCTTTACTTTTCGCTTACTACATGGAGAGACCTTTTGTTCGTAACAATGTAAGTACAAATTGTATTGTTTGTAATATCTCTTGAAAAGTTCCTGCGGCTTCGGGCCTTCGTCAACCAACTAACACCTCATTGGAGGCGCATTCCACGATTTTTTCAAGGGAGCAAACACTTGCGCTAGAGTGGTAATTGATCCGTAAGCGCGTAAGTATACCGATCCTTTTCGTTTTTTCGAAGTCGTAGGATAGGCCACTGAAACACAGTGCTACTCTGACATATTCTGAGAACCATTCACCTGGCTCTTCGTAGGGTTCTCAATCGCATCATTATTCTCAAGAAATTGCACCAGCCTTATCCACAGCAACTTTTGTAGCGGATTTCGTTGATTTTTGGGAGACTTCCGCAGGGGAATATGCAATATATGTTTACTTTTCATCCAGTTATAGAGCATTTTTGAAGGTCTCCATCCTACTGCAACGAGGAGTTCGTCTTTGTCGCTGGGAATACTTCCACAGAAATGTGAAGGTTATGAAAAACATTGGAAAGGGCGCTTACGGTGAAGTGAAATTAGCAGAACTACATAAAAGAAACGGATTGGTCATCACGGTAGCAGCTAAAACAGTAAGAAAACACTTCACTTAATTTGTTTTTTCGACTTTCAGATATTTCTTTAGAGATCATGTATCAAAGCAAGTTCGCTATGAGTAGGAGACGACGAGCGAGAAGTATTTAGACCAGATGCAGCCTTCAACAAAATGCCTCTGCTCGACATAATGCGCTACATTAACTGAGCGGGCGGCAGTAACGTTTCATAATGAACCACTGGACTGTGCTTTGGCAGAGTTTATTTATCGTTGAGTAACTTGCGCTCGTAACTTTCCCGAAGGACCTGAGCACCGATCTGATTCTCGTTCAGCATTCTAGAAATCTTACACCTTACTCCAACGGTCACCACAGAGCCACAGGAAGTGTAAGGCTCAGACATGATTTTGCTGTCGAATGGTGCAACTTCGCAGGTCCTTGATCTTTGATTGGGCCCGGAACTTCGGATTCACTGCCGCAGTTGCGTGTGAAGGTAAACTCAGCGATACCTCTTCACAGCGCGCAAAATGACGCTGACTGCATGGCAATCCTACCTGCCAGCAGTGAAGTCGACGAGACATTGACAAGTTAAGAAGGTCCACGGATCTGATAGAAGTCGGCGCTGGATTTTTGTCCTGATCACCAGTAGCTCCACTCTCCTATATGGTACCGACCTCGACGGTTGGTTTCTTATGGTCTAGCTCTGAAACTAAATCGCCCATCATTGATTCAGGAACTACACGTAGATGGAGCGTTCAGAAACGTCCTTGCATTTTTGGCACGGGTCGCGATAGAATTGCTGTGTTATCCGCTCAAACATAGAAAAAGGTAAACCACCCTTGACCTCCACTTAAATTCCTTCTCACTGCATGACGTTCCCAACAGCAGCACTGAAAGCTTTGGGCTATCTGTGTCAGCTCGAAGAAAGCTTGTGGACTAAACACAAAAAGCAATTGGGCCATATTTATAACCATCGTTCTCTTCTCCTATATGCATGCACGATCCCAGCTTGAGCTCCGATTGTGATCGTTCCTCGATGAAACGGATGCTATAGCACACGTCATGAACCGACTGGTGTGTTGCGACCTTCGAAAGGAAGAATAAAGGAGGTGACAAGTGTTTCTCCGGTACTCTTCAGATTGCATGGTTGTCCCAGGATGACCTCGGATGCTAATCCTAGGACTATTTTAAACTCCTTTGATTGGTGCAGATGCTCATGATTTATCATTTTCAAAGATACCCTGACCACTACAAAAGATCTGCAACGAACGAAGACGCTAAATTACTCAGGCCTTGTACAAGAATATAAAAAATATATATATAGAGTGTATATGTATATTAAGATATCACATGATGCCGGTGAAACGCCAAGAAAAATTAAAGAAATGCTAAAAGAGGCTCGCATCATGCGTGGATTACGACACCCCAATATTGTATCACTCGTTGGAGTCGTTTTGATTGATCACCCTATTTATATCATTCTGGAACTTATGCAAGGTGATCGAGTTTCAAACTCGGAACAGACTCTGTTCTTCACTGCACTGTGATGCTTTTGCTAAGAGTAACAATTAAGTTTTTAAGGGGGAGCATTAGACGCCTACTTGAGGAAGAACCAGAAACGCGTCTCAAGCGAAGAACGTCTTCGATTTGTAGTGAGCGTTGCGTGGGGAATGGAATATCTACACAGCGTTCCAATTCTGCACCGAGACCTAGCGGCAAGAAATTGTTTGTATGATGGAAAAACCTACGTGAGTTTTCCCCTTTATGGTGGGACATCTGGAAGAAAACTTAGATCTGTAATAGAAGAAACTCTAAAAATGAGGCAGTCTATCGAATATGTGAAAACGAAGAAAGCAAACATACGTAGCTTCATTTAGGTGAAAATTGCGGATTTTGGGCTGTCAAAGAAGGGGACCACCTACAAGATGAAAGCAATTCAAAAGATGCCAATAAGATACATGGCTCCGGAAAGTCTCCAACAATATTTGTTCACGCAAAAGACGGACGTCTACACATACGGGGTAAATTGGTTGTTATTTTATTAGTACAAAGAAATAGAAACAACCTGCGGTTGGGTATAGAGGATTACAGAGGGCTACCGAACTGTTGAGGCTATGCGACCAACACACGGGGCCGGAGGTGACGGTGAACAGCGCTTAGGTTGGGAACTGGGCTAATTTGGAGAGGCAACTAGTTAGAATAAGCGATGACAGACTAGCAGCCGATGTGGTAGGCAGAAGTGAGACTGAGACCAGACAAGCAAAGTAGCTTCCCAGCATTTCCTCTATTCGAATCGGGGGAAAGCGATCGGGGCACTGTTCTCTCTCGGCGCATCTCACAGACGAGAAAGTCATGGTCATAACATATTTATATTCATAGCCATAGCAACGGATCAGTTAAACAGTTCTTTTGCACGTTGAATTGGCTCCAGTGTAACCCAGTGTAACCCACGCAGGGTCAACCGTTACGTTGGACCGATATTGGAGCGACGTTGGACCGATGTTCACCGCTCTCCGCGCCGGCATTCACTCTCGCCACCCGCGAGCCGTCTGTGTCTCCGTGCGTACGTTCACTCTCGGCATTACTCTCGTCGTCGCGTTGGACTTTGTCCAACGGACGGTTGACCCTGAACCCACGTTCGCGCAGGGGTGCGCAGCGTCCCAAGTCATCGAATTGTTTTCGACGTCCCTCTTCTGGCTTTCTCTGCACCCTCCACGACGAGAATATGGGTGCCAACTGTACGGTGCACAATCGGTGTAGAGGTAAATCAGCCAAAGATGGCAAAGCGCATTTTGTTTCGCGAGGCGGACGCAGCACGAAATTCGGCGAGCATCTTCAGGGTAGTGAATGGTGAACTGCTCTCGCTAGAGCACGAAAATTCGGCGAAGCATGCTTATCAGGGAGTGAACTGGTGAACTGCGCTCTCGCTAAGAACGCTGCATCTAAACGCTTTGTTAGAACTACTACAACGTTTGCTCGCGTGCTGCGGTTGCTATAAAGGATAAAGGATAAAGCATTTGCCGTTGATCAATCCCTTTTGGGATGCGGCACGCATTCTACTTCCATTTGTACATTCGTAGTGGCGTTTGAATGCGATGTGGCCTATACAATGACTTGCGGGGGCCAGCCGATGTACAAGTCAGTGTTTTTATCCTCCCAGACAAGTCTGGTACCAATTAACCGACCCCGGAGGGATGGAAGGCTTGGTTGGCCCGGGCGACTCACGACCCAGGATTTGATCCCCGGACCGCTCGCGTGGTGAGCGCGCCACTTGTCACTACACCACTTCCGCCCGGTTGGCTATGCTGAGAACATTTTGGTTAGTGGGCCTCTTTACCGGCACCCAGTTTTACTGAAAGGCATGCCCAAGGATCATATAGGTGTGTTCTCACACGCGAATACGAATGTACTGGTGCGAAATGGGCACGAAGTAGAGAGAAAAAAAGAGAGAGTCCGTGAAGATTCCTTTAAAGCGAGGAGAGGCGAGTGTGAGGCAAGAGAGCGCGACATGACAGATGACAGGGCGCCAGACAACAGCCCAATAAAAGGAGAAAATGCAGCTGCAGCAGCTTGCTTTGCAAGACAATGGCGCTCTTGTCGGGTGATTTCTGTGCATGGGAATGCCACATCTGAGATTGCCCTCTAGTGCTATATACTACAAAACGAAGGGAATCGATCACATGGGAGTTGCAGTGTGTTTGGGTTGCGCCTTTAAGGAAATTGGCCGCCAAGAGAGCGAGGTGTGGGGCTTTCGCGACAAAAGGTGTGCTGGTTCTGAGCAGGACCACGAGGGCAGTCCGCCCCCAAAAGCTATCCGCCCACTAGTTTAGATGGTGATTCGGAGTTGAGGTGAGATGCGTTACCAGCAGTGGCAAAACTGAAGCAACTCGACTGAAGCGTGGTTGGCGTAAAACCACCAATGTGTGAAGTCGTTGTCGTGACAGCGCCACGACCTCGAGTAAAGGTGCTCCAAGGCAGCTGGTTAGAGGCAGGGCAAAATACCGGTTCAAACTCGCGCCATCGGCACAGGACCTTGGTTGCCTGCGCCTTCAAACTGCGCGCGAACCGTAGCCACGTCATTCATCGCCATTGCATCATCGTGAGCGGTCGCCCTCTATTCGCCTCTCCGGTTATCGGCTATTCATCGCTGTTATTCTATTCCATCTTCACGCGATGACACCAGCTCGCCATATAATAGTTAGTTTGACTTTATCTTATATAACTTTACCTAAATATTAGCTTCAATCGTCTCGCCGGGATAGCCCTTAGTAGTTACCACTCCTTACTTCCTTTTAGATCTTAGTTAGTTCACTATGGGAGTTAGCATCTTAGGTTCCTTAACTGTATTCTTCCAATAGTATCCATCGTAGTCATTATTAACTGTAGTATTCTTCTTTCCTTAATTGCAATAGGATTTACATAGTACAGACTCTTTTCGTATGATTCTTTCTAGTATGTATTTGTCGGTATTCTTTATGTAATGTTTATTCAGGCGACATGAAGAAGTGTAATATCTAGGCGCATAACAGTCAAGTCTAACTCAGTCTACGCCGCGCACACGCCGCCATCTATCTTCGCCTAGTCGATCCATTCGTGTCATCTTGGATCCTCTTCTTGTTCACTCGGCAGATCGACATCCTTCGCACTACTAGGCAATCAGCACGCGCCAGCACGCTTATGCCCTTTGGGCACAGGAAGCAAGGCCTCTTGTCAACCCGCTGCAGGCATCAAGGACTTCGGTCATCAAGCATTCTTCGTTGCACGCATCTTCCCTTCAGAGGTGTTGTGGGCACCCATCCGGAATCCCACGTTTTTGCCGTGTCTCGTCGATCGCCTGGCGTCCTTACTCCCACTGACCGCCTGGCACGACAGTCGTTAATACACCCGATTCCTGAGCTGTTACCTGTTCATAAGTGAAAACAAGCGGCAAAAAGGGGTCCTGTTTTGCGTTTTCTTGACGATTTTTTTTTGCTTTCTTGCCACTGTTGTACCAATAGGCATCATCACGTCTCATCTGTTATCCTCTCTAACCTATCGTAGTTGCTGCATTCGAGTTTAGAATCCCTTTACTGACTGTTTTGAGTAGGCTCATTAGAACGAAAATGTTTTTGCAGGTGCTCATATATGAAATCTATTCTTGTATGGAGCCATACCATGACGTTCCAGGTTCACGAAATAAACCACGGTAACTACACATTTATTTCCTTCAAATGTACATATCGTTCATTTCGAATCCTAGTTAAAAAATGCTCCGAGAGTTTGATCCCACCATTATCCCTCGTTAAGCACGACTTATCTCGACCTTTACGTCACGCTCGGCTCACGACCTCATATGTATAGATGCGCATTGAATGGAATCCCTCTTCCAAACCACAGCAGAGTAGCACACATGTACAAGGGATGGGGCCAATAATGATATTTTACCATTTCGTACTTCAGAGATTTTTCGCTGACTGCCGCCTCGTCATTGATGGAAGCTCTATATCGCGTTGTTCCCCAAGTGTCCCCCTATAAACCCTCCTGCACTGTCCTCACCGTTTCAACAATATGACGTAATCTCTTTATCGTCATCGAGCCCACGAGGACCTCCGTAATTGCTCCAGCCTGAAACACTTACATGATGTCTTGATTCAGTTTCGTTGGATAGTTCTCGGAGACGTTTAGCTCTGACGAATGCGAACTTTTTCCGCAACCCCTTTTCCAGAAAACGTTGTAGTGGTACAAGGTCCCTCGAGATCCCCGCTGAGCTCGACCGCACCATGTTTCCGAGGCAGACTTTTTCTCAGGCCGTCCACGTAGAAGGTCAATATGAAGTCATTTCATCGAGATGGAATGTGCTCTTCAATTCTAACATGGGAGCATTTGGTTGAACTTAGCAACGTGTGACTAAAAAAATTTAAATTAGGTGACAAAAGGACAAAATACATTTAAATTTGGTGACAAAAGGTCTTTTTTCATTGCCCCCTCCCCCTCGTGTGCACTCCTATGTATTTTATGTACGGAAACCATGTGAAACAGGAGAGCCTCCTTAATACCTATTTTTATTTATTTATTATTGCACTCAAGGTGCGCCTAAGACAATTGGAGTGTGAATAAATGCAAAGTTGACTGCTACAGCACAGAAACTAAAGTAAACAAACAGAGGAGTAGTTATTTCAACACTCGCCTAGATTAGCGACCTAACTAAATTGAATGTGTCCGTAGGAAATAATGAATTTGTCAGCATTGGTGACCCTTGAAATGAATGTGAATGAGAAGCTCTTCGAAGAATTCATCGCATTCACTTTTTGAATACGATAATATTCAACATGAGTAAATTGAGCGTCTCTGCACTCAATTCAACAAGCAGGTTGTCGTTCGTAGGAAGGCTGGCAGAAGGGAACATTATTCACATTTTTCGAGGAGGGAGATAGCCATGCTACCGTTGTCTGGTGGCACATCCTCATTACAATGGTGTATGACGTGCTTTTGAGAGGGTTCCTTTGCTGTCCGGGATTCCAATTTTCACGCGTATACTCTATTGTACTGCATTTTTTGTACAGATTCTGAGTGGAAAGTTAAATAAGCTACCGAATAATGTGCCATCTGGTCTGAAGTTATTCGTCGAAGAAAAGATATGGAGCAAAGATCCAGCCGCTAGGCCGGACTTCGCCTCAGTAAGCTCTACTTCATACTGCTAACTATGTTCATCCATAAATACTACGTATGATATGACATTCAGTGAGTGAACTGCAAAGGGTAATGGCCTAAATGTTCAGATAGTCAAGGTTTTGGAACGTATGTCCGGTTTGAAGCTAACGTCTCAAGCATTTGAAGATGTATCACTCCTGGTGAGGACTTTTGGTTGCGACCTGTGCGAGAATTGTGAGGAATCTTTCTGCAGTGAAAACGCATGACCCAAAGGAAGATTCAAGGAGAATTTCGTGATTAGTTCATCAAAACACTTTTTGAAGGAGGTTAAGCACACAAGTGAAATAATAAGGCCTTTATCGCGACCCAAAACGCATTCCAAGAGCATCAAAGGCATATAACCTGTATCAGCGCACTCCATGCATCAATGCACGCTCACCTAAGAACCTTGAAATTATGCAAACAATGGGGCTACGCAGCTTTAAAGGGCAACGATCCAAAAATGGAGTGGCGTTGCAGCGTTCGTCTTGCCGCTTGCGTGAGCAGGAAAGGGGACGAGGACTCACGTGCCGCGCCATCCCATGCGATGGAATTCGTGAGATCCTCCACCTTCTAGATTAATTGCGCTTGGTAAAGTTGGCGAAATTGCTCGACGCATTCTCTCCTTGTTGAGAGAGCGCAGAGAAAACGAGAAGTGGGAGGTGCACAAAAGCGCACATAAAAATCGATAACACGCGACATTGCGCGCCCAGTGCCAACGCTTCAGCGCGTCAATGCGTCGCGCATTGTACGTGACTGCGGCAGGAACATCATAATTCACGCAGACTTCTTGTGCTCACCGTGTCCAAACGGCTAAAGACCTTATAAGGCGCAATGACAGAATCGTTGTCCATCCAATTCTCGCTAAATTCGAGATTTAATAGGCAAGTATGGTAAGACCGGGTGTGGTACGAAGGAGATTCACACCGAACGGAGAAAATAGAGAACGCTAGAGAGCACGCCATACGAGAGGGCACAGACAAGCAACAGTTGCGACCGCCTCTAAACGAGCGCTGTTGATTGGGGGATTGGAAAGATCGCAACGCTTAATTGCGTCCTTACTAGCGCTGTGAATGGCGCATCGGCGATCTACATATTCTATTTATCGAGGAGATTACTTCAGTGTCTTCTCTAATATATTGCCTTTGAAACACCACGAATCCCCCCTTATGCAATCTCTCCCGTTATCACCATCCTTGCACGTTAATCCACAGCATTCTGCAAGGCGAGCATCTACATAATACACAACAGCAAGCAGGAATTTGCTCATGTAAACTTGTGACCAACTCTCTCTAGAACTGATAAGCTTCAACATCTTCGTAGATCCCGAGAACAACGCAAGTGAAAAGAAACCAGTTCTGCGATAGATTTGTGGGTCCTGTATCCTACATTGAATTTTAGGCGTCGGATATTACTAAAAGCAAGGCTCCTACGAGAAGACCCAAGAAAAAGAGCAAAATTATGCCACGTCTCAAAAAGGTTACTGATCTGGTACAATCTCCTATAGCACAAGATCCGATTGATAAAAAGGATATTGAAAATAACAGGTTCGTGAGATTTAGCATTTCACATAGCTAACGACTCTCCTACAGCCGCCGGGGTTTTTCCTTTCCTTGCGTGCGCTGCATTCCTTTCGTGAGCTTCACTCCCACTTCTGAGGTGGACACCTTGTGAAGTACAAATTTACCCAAAAGGGGCGCTTATCTAGTAGAGGACGTGTTATAACAATCATAACATCGTTAGGTTGATACATCAATTCTACCTCGAAGGAACCGTCCACGGAAAATCCTGATTCTATCTCACCCATAAATCACTGGCTTGAGACCCATCGTTCACGATAAGAACGAAAAAAAAATTGTGTTTGTTTTGGTAAACAATTCGAAAAACCGGAAGGACTGTTACGCGTTCAAATTCCCGCCGTCATCTGTCACAAATGCTGGCGCGGGAACGATTTCCACTTGGTTCTTGGAGTGCTGTTACTAGAACTCTTTTGGCCTTTTCCACC